ATTGGACTTGGTGATCTTGGGGGTTTTTTCCAGTCTTGATTCTATGATTCTATGGTTCTGTGGCTTTCCCAAAGTTATTCTCAGCATCGTGGACTTTGCTGAAGCTTTCACTCTAAACCCCAGGCTTTCCTACAAAGAAAATTCCTCCATATAACAACACTTTCATTATGGAAGGGTCTGCAGAGCTTTTAATCCAGGTACAAAATTACTCCTCCTTGCCAAGCACACCGAAGTCTAGATGCTAGTCAATGACTCAACAATGGGGGGGAGAGGAGGGAGCAAAAAAAAAAACAAACCAAACATTCCTAGTGCACAGTGCTATTTGAAAGACAACTATCTCCCTGAAGGAAAGACATGAACTCACAAAACTCACAAGGAGGGCTGCCAATATACTGAGCTAACCAGGTTAATCTGTTTCGTTAGCAGCATAGTTCAGCTTGATGGGAGCTCTGTCATGGGAACTGAATCAAGCATAATGTCACTTTTCAGACCAAGTTCCCAGGCTTTGAATAGTTTCCTGTTAATCATAAGGCTTCTTAGCTTATGTACATTTCACTGCCCTAAAAGTCTCAAGCTGTTATATCAATACATACTTGCAAAGTTAATGGAAAGTATACTTCTATTCCCACAAGAAAAGGCCCTACACAGTCCTGATCCACACAGATATCACTACATAATATTACATACAATTTAATTCTTTTTTAACATTAACTATTAGATAAGTTGAGAAGAAAAAGGTGCAAAGAGGTCCATTTCCCAGCCAGAGGATACATTATCCAGAATGGCATTATCCAGCAGTGCTCTCAACACATCTAAAATACCAGCTATTTTTCAACAAGCTTGGACAAAGCACAGAAATCTTAAAAGTTTCTACAATTCCTGTAAAAACTGGGAGTGATGTAAAGGAAATGCCCATTTCAATGGCCCACACAATGTAACAGGCTATAGCAAGAGCTTAGGCATGACCATTTTGCTTGGACTGCCAACTTACCAATAAAATAAAGAGCTTTTGCTTTTGGTTTTGCTTTGACAGTAACCAAAGGGATACTGGACAAAACTCATAGGGAAAAAATTGGTTTTGCTAAGATGTAATGAGGAAAGATAAAATAAAATCTGACCTGCAAGTAAGAGGGATATCAGGTGGGAACTGTGGTTTATTCTTTTCCTTCCTCTAGATACAGAAAAGACTTGTAACTCACTAGACAGAGAAGGCATTTGTCCTTGTATAGGAGGGAAATAACGTGTAAAGAACGTGCACTTTAGTGGCGAAAAAAGATAAGTTTGCTCCAGTGTCCATAGTTTTGTTATCACTCAGAACATGCCTCTGTCTCCAGGAATTTATAGTCTGTAGTTCAGATTCGGCTATATATCACCTGAAGGTACAGCTTTTTGCAAGATTGTGGTGCACATGGTACCTGTAAAATATACCAATAGCAAGGAGGAGGTATGACAGAGATAGGAACGATTTTATTCAGTGGTAAGAACTGTCCATCCTAGTTGTTTATAAAGTTTGCAGAATTAGTTAAGGATTTGGGAATTAAAAGATGTTACTTGTTAGAAGTCATCACTCCTTTTGCTTCAATGACAGGTAGGAAAGACCTTTTAGCTTCATTTGCAGGAAAGCAAACAAAACACACACGCAGATATTGACCTTACTAAGACAGAAAGGGGATAATGGCAAAATTAAAGAATCTCAACTTTTTCATGTTTTTCAATATCATCACAAAGCAATCAGTTTACAGCATTGCTCTGTTCTTCTTGTTTTCTCCTCGAAACTCCATTCCCCTTTCCAGTTCTTCCCTTCTGCACTGAATTTCTTCCTTAAAAAGTGTTCACTTTAATTGCTAAAGTTTATGGACTCATGGGAGAAAGGGCAGGAAGTCAGACTTTCGGGATAGGGTAAAAATGTAAAGGTCATTCACACACTTACATACACGTACTCTCTCTCACTCCAAAAATAATACACTATTTGACAGTTTCAGGATTCAGCATGTCCCACTGAAATTTGAAAGCTTATGTGAAACTAGGCCACGTCCTGTAACCTCAAACATTTAGACTAGGAAAACAGCTCTCCAGTCTCCAGCTCCCACTTCGGGTATCACATGACGTCTGTGCCAAACAGGAGACCTCAAACAGGGGGGGAAAAGAAACGTTGGTAAAATGAGTTGATTAAACCTGGGGAATAACAGTTCAGACCTTCAGTGACAGGTATTATTTTTTCTGGTTAACTGGCTAGTGAAATATTAAATTATACTCAAAGCACTCATAACATGAGATGGGCAGAATGGTCTAACAACCAACTTATGTTCCACCCAGTGGCATGGGCGAAGGAGAAAGGTGACTCAAGATTTGCAGCAAAGTGTTACCCTTCCCCTGTAACAGATGTGTTAACTATTCAAAATCACAAAAATCGTGTTGAGGTTCAGTATTTCCTCATACTGAAGCATCATAACACATCAGACATCAATTATCACAGATCATTTAAGCTATTTAAGTTCAGTTCCTAAACTTTCCAGTAGTTCTACTTTACTCTTTTTGACAAATAAACAACTGATCCTGTGTGGTCTAAAGGATTGTTGTTTATTTTCCTTCACCCAAACGTACTTTCCTCTCTGCAACTGCAATTTCAGTACAAAGAACATGTGGAATGAGTAAAACAGTCAACACAATGAGATGTGCCAAACCATTCAGAGTTTATGAACAGTGATATTAATTTGAGCAAGTAAGAGGGAGAAGATAGCTTTGCATCTGTCATGTAAACAATTGTTTACTTTTTAACACGTATATATAGACAGAGAAAGAGAAATATCCACTTCTACTGCAAATACAAAGCCAACCCATTTTCATAATGATTTCTGTGTATCAGTACAAAAATTGTAGGCAGCAGATGATGAGCAAAGATGGTCCCTACCAGGTTGAAGTTTTAGACTCCAGTTCTATCTTTAAGACACCATATTGCTGTAGAGAAACAATAAGACAGTTAGAAAAGCTTCCAGTTTTGTTTCCTCTCAGATAAGTAAGTGCTGCTCGCTTTTATCAGAAAATCTCTAAATAAATCAATGTTTCTTATGCAGCATATCTGACCTTTACATCTCCTCTAAATTATGATGACCAATAAATTATAATGACCATAATTTTCTATTTCTGCCATCCATATTCCTCTACACTGACTTTCACCAAAGAGAAATATATATAACTATATCACTGCCCTCAGAGCTTCTCCAAGCCTTGTTAATTATTCTTCCAGAACTGGCAGAAACTTGAACTCTGACCAGACATACCCACAGCACTTGTGGCAGCACAATGCACTAGAGAAATCAAAGTTGTATATTTGCTCTTTTACAGAAAAAAATGTCTGCAGCTCAGTACATATTAGGCATTTGTATTCTGTGACTAATATGACCCTGGAAGGATGTATAGGGTCCAACGGTATACATACTTTTTTAATTATTTAAAGAATAGCTTGTATTTATTAGATTCAAAAATTCTTAGCTACAAGAGTTGAAATGAGAGGATACCCTTACAAAGGTGTTGAACTACATATGTCTGCAATTATATTGTGATTAGTTTTAAACTAGATTATGTAAATATAAACTGACAGAACAAGTTAGCAGAAAAAAAACAAATAGCATTCTTTGCTGAATGACATTTAAATCAAAACTAATGGAAGCTCTGAGATGAAAAGGGAATGAATGGCACATAACAGTCTTCACCAGACTTCTGTGACCTGAACCACAATGCCCACCCTTCCTTCCCAAAAGCCCTTCTGCTGTTTTGGATCACTGCACAACTGCTTTGCAGTTCTCCCTGGCAGCCAGCAGCAGAGTTGTGGCAGTAGCTCCAGCAGCACCACACCATGTTAGTCCATTAATGCTGAGCATTAGGACATGGACACAGCTTTTATCATCAAACATAATATATTAGTAGTAAAATATTAAAATTAGCAGGTTCCATCTTCTTAGAAAGAGCAGTGGTGCACTGGCACAGGCTGCCCAGGAAGTGGTAGAGCCACTGTCCCTGGAGGTGTTCCCAAACTGTGCAGATATGGCATGGAGGGATGTGGTCAGCAGGCATGGTGATGGTCAGTGCTTGCATTAGATGACCTTATAGGTCTTTTCCAACCTTAACTATTCTATGAGTAACTTCAAAGTCTACCAACAAGCCGCTGGAACAGCCAGCTCTGAAACCCTCTGAGATTTCACAGCATTTCCACCCCAAGCACTGATGTACTATGTTAAGAGGTACAGCAGCACTGCAGAGGAGCCCACACTGGCTGCCAGCGATGGTGGTGGGAGAGCTGTTACATGAAGGAGCTCTGAGGGCGTGGAGCTGCCTGCCAAGATGATGTCTTTGAAAAGATAGATGACTGCAGGACAAGGGGAAATGGTTTTGAGGGAGGGAAGATTTAGATTGGATGTCAGAGGGAAGTTCTTTACAGAGAGAGTGATGAGGTGCTGGAACAGGCTGCCCAGAGAGGTTGTGATGCCCCGTCCATCCCTGGAGGTGTTCAAAGGCAGATTGGATGGGGCCCTGGGCAGCCTGGTCTAGCATTAAATGTGGAGGTTGGTGGCCCTGCATGTGGCAGGGGGGTCGGAGATTCACTATCCTTGAGGTCCCTTCCAACCCTGGCCATTCTGTGATTCTGTGATGTGTTTTTTTCCCTCAGTTCAGCAGCTCAGGAAGAAGCTGTTGTAGATATACTGTATAAAAGGTGAAGTTAAAGCCTCAGATGCTGCCGTGGGCACGTGAATCGTAATTAACTGCTACACCGCTAACGGCAAGACAACAGCGAGGCCTACCTGAAGGTGATGTTCTGGCTCGGCCCCGGCCCGTCTCCTCACAGCGCCCGCGCGCAGCCGGACCCTCTGAGAGAGGCGCACACGGAAGCGCGAAGACGGCCCCTAAAAAAATGCACACACTCGGCGGTGACAGGCACCCACCGCGTCCAATCATCAGCCGGAGCGCCGTCATGCGGGCCAATGGCGAGATGGGGCGGGGAGAGGAGGCCGCGCGCCGGGAGCCTTGGTAACGCGCGGGCCGCGTGTGGCGGGTGGACGTGCGGGAGAGGGGTGGCCCGCCATGAAGATCGAGGAGGTGAAAAGCACTTCGAAGACCCAGCGCATCGCCGCACACAGCCATGTTAAAGGGCTGGGGCTGGACGAGAGCGGCACCGCCAAGCCGGCGGGGGCCGGGCTGGTGGGACAGGAGAACGCGCGGGAGGTGAGCGAGGGGCCCGGCCTGGCGCTGCCGCGGACTGACGGGGAGCCTCAAGGCTATGAGTTCGCCGTTACCGCCGTGTAATTCTCAGTAGCGAGCGCGAGGCTTTACCTCAGCTGAGGCGGTGGGGCAGTCCCCGGCGCTGTGACTGCGGGGCTGCCTCCGAACGGAGGTGATACAGGCTGTGAAACGCCCCGACATCAGCGATCTGCTGCGGGGTGCTGGGGCTTCGCGCCCGGCTCCGGCCCGGTGCTGGAGCTCCTCTGTGCTTCTGAAAGGCAGAAACTCCTTGCTGCGTTTTTAAGCCTTGATTCCTGGGTGCAGTTCCGCGAGGGGAAAGGATGCCAGCTCTTTGATTTGAGTTCTGTTGTCTGATTTATTTTTTAAACGATTGTAGGAAATCTTTTCTTTCTTACCTCAATTTTTCTGTGTCTCAGAAGATCAGTACTTCTAAGCACATCTGGTACTGCTGGAATTGAATATATTCTAACTATCCTCTTGTTCATGGTGTAAACCTTTATTCTGCAGGCTTGTGGGGTTATAGTAGAATTAATCAAAAGCAAGAAGATGGCTGGCAGAGCTGTCCTGTTGGCAGGACCTCCTGGAACTGGCAAGGTATCCTGATATTTCCTTTATTTGTAAGAAATAAAGCCGCCTGAAATTTGTTGTAATTTAACTGCTGTTACAGCCATTTTAGAATAGTGGTTACATATTGTCTTCATCTGCTGTTGTGTTTTTTTTCCCCACTAAGGTATTGACACAGTTTTCTGCTTTGTGTTTAACTTTTGCCATGTCATTAACACTGGCAGCATCCTCTGGTTTGTGCAGGCATTGTTAGTGCAAAAGCACCTCATGCAGGCTGCCAAACACAGAGGTAGTATGGTTTCTGAAGAAGAGTTTTAGAAATTAATTTTATATTAATAGCCTAAATAGTTATTCTTTTTGGTTGTTTTCCCTTTGCTGTTTCATACGTATAAGATGTTGAATTCAAATGTCCAGTATTGTTCCTTTACAGTGTTCATAAGTCTGTGGTAGAAGTCACCTCATACATGTCCAATTTGCTGTGGTGGGAGAGGTTTGTTATACGTGAGAGATGTCAGAGCAGTTATAATACTCAAGTGGTGGTTGATAGAGTGAAAGTGATGGTTGATAGAGTGAAAGTGATATGATGAAGAAAGTTAAATTTGTGCTGAAAGAATCCTCATAAAAATGAAATGCTTAATTTCTTTTTTCACTTTTTAAGACTGCTTTGGCTTTAGCTATTGCTCAGGAACTTGGCAGTAAAGTTCCCTTTTGTCCTATGGTTGGAAGTGAGGTCTATTCTACTGAAATCAAGAAAACGGAAGTTCTGATGGAAAACTTCAGACGAGCAATTGGTAAGTTTCAGAAAACAGAAAATTAAGTATTTACACAATATTTACATTGTTTTTTTTCTAGTAATCTGAAAAGGAAAAAAAAATCTTGGATGGTGGCTTCCAGATCGTGGTATGAACTTTTCTTCAATGCTGATCTTAATTTGGGGAACCTCTCCTACAATTAATAGAGTCAATAATTCTGGAGATAAATGCTTGTGGATATAAATGCTTGTGTCCTACAGTTATTTTTACTTGCTCTCCTCCCCCAGAATCTTTTCATGTCCTCCAGGTTTCATCTCCTGATGTCACCTCTGAATCTCCAGAAATCTGAAAGAAAACCTGTTTTTAGTTTCTTATATTAACAGAAATACTTGTAGGCAGCAAAATGCTTTCCTTTTTTACTTCAGTGATTTCACCCTACTGAGCAAGCAGCCTTGTTCAGGGATTCCCAAGTGATAATGTTAGTCTGGCTTAGTATTCCGATGAACACAGAGGAAGTTCCATGCCAGCATAATAAATAATATTTTCAATATTGTCCTCAATTCTAGAGCGCTTTTACAAAGTAATTGGGTAAATTTGCAACACAACCTCACTAAATAGCTAAAATCTCTTTTATGATCTTTGCTGACAGCTGATAAATGCAGTTAAAGTGGTTCTTGGTTGTGTAAGGATTGCCTAAAGATGACCTAACTGAAAAACTGAACTTATTAACAGTTAATTTTCCTGATTTCTATGCTATGTTTCCTCTCTGACTTCATTTGAGTATTTTAGGGTGGTGAAGAGGTCTCTCAGTTCTGCAACCAAGTAAAAGTATTCCATTCATTTTTATAAGAAAGCAACTTTCAGTAGTCTCTGGTCTAGTTACCATGAATCTGGCAGGGCCTGGGGGAGGGAAGCCAGAGAGTGAGTAGTCTGCTATATTTCCTTGATGTGATGAAGTTCCCTGTCAGAGATTTGGAAACTTGAACCAACAGATGAAACTTCTGCCATCCATGTTGTCATTTTTGGAGATAGCAGTATGTTAAGTCTTGGGTTAACAGCCAGCTGCATTGTTAATTCTCTGCATTCCCTGAATGTCAGGGGAGAGACACTTCTAAACAAATATTGGTGTTCATGAAAGATGGAACTTCTTTTATTCCTTTCTGTTGAACTCTGTGTCACATTTTCATAACACAACCTTTATTGAATATTTTTATCAGTGTAAAAAAAAGAAATAAATATTTTAAAGGATCTGCTTTTTTTTTTTTTTTTAATCATGGAATGTTTTCCAATCATGTTTAAATCTTGTTAGATTTTCGATCATCTGCCTGGCAAATAAATAATTTAAAAGAGTACATGTTCTCAAAAAAGATTTTATATGCACAGTGCAGCTGTGGCTGAGTGTAAGAAAAAAAATCATCTCTCACAATTGGCGCTTATATGTATTTTTTTTAATTTGGTTGGTATGAAACCTACCTTGCAGGTTCTATATACATCATCTGTTTCCCTTATTGTATATTTTACTTCAAGGGGCTTTAGACAGCTCAAATTGTAAGAACAATTAGGGATCTTAACATCAGTTTTTTCTTTTGTTCTTGGAAGCAAGAGGGACTGATTGGTTTGATCCTGTCATTGCATAAGAAAACAGGCAAATCAGAGTTCTCAGATTTTTACTGTTGGAAGTCATATAATAGCATGCTTGATGTAGTCTAATGGCCAAATATTGTTTAGAATATGTAAGAAACAAAACCAGTGGAAAATGAGAAGATGGAATTGTACAGGAAGAACACTTCAGCTAAGAGGGATTAGTATTCTATAGAGCTTATTAGCAGCCTCCCAGGATGGTAACAGTAGCTAACTAGTAAAAAATTACTGAAATAGCCCCTTAGGTATACAGGGAACCAATATGCTGTTCATGAGTTGTAACTGCCAGTAAATCAAACAAGCACTATTTAAGTCCACCTTTGAGCCGAGATGTGAAGCATTCTGCAGTTTCTTTCCTGGATTCATGCTTCTGATTTGTAATTAGGAAATGTCTCTGTTTAAGTTAAGGAGATCTTTTGAGAGTTAAGCTGATACATGCAGATTGATTTCAATACAAAAGATAATCAACAGAAAATTCAAAACACTGATTACTTTTTTTCAGATCTCGTTAAACTCTTAGCTGATTCAGCTTTGGTTTGTATCGTGGAACAGAATTTGCTCAAGACTGATTCTTTTCAGACAAAATAAAAACTTGATGTGATTTAGAACCATGCAAAATATACCCCAAACATGAATGGCTTGCAGTGTGTGGGGACAGAATAGAACTTCTTATGGTGAAATGTTAAAAACAAAAAAAAAAGGGAAAAGCAAGCCTGCGAATGTCCAGGGAGTTCTACTGTACAGAATCCCATATTACTGAATGTTCCTTGCAGATGTAGACTATGTGATGCAGCCTTGTCTAGGTCAATCTCATAATTCAAAGATTTGTTACTTTTTGTATAATGTTTTGGCATACTTGAAAACATTTGAAAAATTTTCTGAATTTTATGTAGAACTTCCAGGTTATGCTAAATGAGAAAACATGTCTTACCAAGAAATTACCACATTATCTGAAAATCCCACTATTTCTCACATTTCAACTCCCATCCTTAATTTAGGTCCAGTAGAGGGAGACAGACTCTTATTTGTCAGTCCTTTCTATTTCCCTATCAGCAACTCAAGATTACTGGTGAAGTGTCTGATCTATTTCAAAGCAAAATGAAAAGTTAAGGAACAAGGAAAGTTTTATAAAGTCCTAATAGCCTCAGACTGCGCAGGATGATTTCCTTATATCTTGTTACAGCCCATTCATTATTTTTGGTATGGCATGTGTGTCTCATAAAATACTTTATAGACTCTCCTCAGATGTGGGTTCTTTGAAATTTTATGTAGTTAGAATGTCTGCATAATTGTGGTGGTGATGATAGTGGTTTTTCTTTGGCGCAGTCTAAACATAAAACTCTTCAACTCTGTATTATTTATCAGTTTAAAATGACTTCTAGTCCATTGCAATAGTTTTGGCTTAGAATATTATTATGTTTTCTCAATTCTCTGAAAAATGGTCAAGTAAGGATGTCCCTGTCTCCTATTTTGAAACAATTTAAAGTTTGCTTTATAACAGATTCTGTTAAACTTTGTCTAGCTCACCTCTCACTTATAACTTGTAAAACATTATGCGTTGTTTTTCTTAAAAACAAAGTTTTTTTTGAAGTTACCTTTGTCCCTCCTCTATCCTGACTGTTCTGAAAGCATAAAATTGTGTACAACTCACTTTTGTACTGTTGTCACTGATCTTTAGTTTTGGAATTTTGATGAACTGTTTATCTCTGGTGTAAAGTTATAAATCAGGCAGCTGCCCTCTTCAAGAGGAGGTAAAGAGAGAGGATACTTATATTTGCTTAAAGACTGAATAAAAAACAGCAGAAAAAAAATAGTTTCTTAGAGCTTAATAAACTGTTTTTTGGATCAGAACTTGGGCTCAGCTTTCCCTCTCATGACATGGGTTGAATATTCACATTTAATGTTGAAGAACTATGATTATCTTTCAAATTTTGGAATTAAAGATTTCCAGTTAAACATAACAAACCCTTGTAATATATTAAAATCTGTTGGCATTAATGTAGAAGACTGTTGAGTGCTTTTGGCCATTGATTTGTGTAATTAAACTATTCCAAACAATTACTTCCAGGATTGAGGATTAAAGAGACCAAGGAGGTGTATGAAGGAGAAGTCACAGAATTAACTCCATGTGAGACTGAAAACCCTATGGGGGGCTATGGCAAAACAATCAGTCATGTAATTATAGGACTCAAAACTGCAAAGGGAACCAAGCAGTTGAAGGTATGTATGGTAGGGTTTCCAAATTTCCTTAAAAATGTCATATCTGCATCTTTTGTTTTTAACCAATTCTTGATCCCCATCTGGGTAGAATAACAGTGCAGAGAAACTGTTTTGCTAGCCAACATTATCTTACTCCTGAGCACGTATTTTTATTTCTTTGGTGTTCATAGTTTTTGGATATCGTTCTTTTCTCCTACTATTTGAAACTCCATTGCTCAATTAACAGCTCCTGTTACTTTTCTGCTTGACAATTCGTACTTGTGAGTGTTCAAGTAAAAAGAAAGATTTAACCAGCAAAAGATTCTGTTGCAGTTCTGCAACAGCGTTCCTAGCTCACAGAAAAACAGGCTCAGTGAGGAATCTGAGCTACGACCTGATATGCTCACAATGACTGCAGCTGTAACTTCACGTTCATAATAGCAAACATTCAAGAAGGCTTATTCATTTTTGTTTTTCCTGATACTCAACTGAATTTTTGAGAATAGTTTTGGCAAATTTTGTCCGCTTCTATATAAACTGTTCTTTCTGCCACAGTTCTTCCTTCCATGTGTGGAGATATGCTTTAGTGAATATGTGATAGAGAACTAGAAATTGAGCTGGTATGTTGCCAGCTCAGCCCCACTTTCCCTTTGTTTTCTTGTCTCTGTCCTTATTGTTTAATTTCCCTGTCAGTTAGAATACAAGAGCTGAAAGCTGTCTCTGTTGTTAAGTATCAACTTGCATTTGTTCATGCTGAAAACAAGAAAATGCAGAGGAAAAAATGAATAAATACGTACTATGAGAAACAATAGCATCTCATATATTCCACGTCTGCTCTTCCTCATGCAGCTTGACAGAGGATGCAGACTCAGGATCAAGTAGCATAATGCAATGCAGTAGTCAGTTTTTGTAAAAGTTTTGCTAGAAAGCAAGTGAAGCACCACATCCTAAGTGTAAACATGTTGTCACATTACACAAAGGCACACTTTGTAACTGGTATCATTATGTTTTTGGCGCTTAATGTCAGTTTGTTCAGACAGATATTTTTGTGTAAGAAAATAAGTTTTATGCATCTTCTTTAGATTTTACAGTAAAGACTAAGTTGTACTCTACCACTACTCCAGGTGTCACAGCTTTATAAAATCCTAGAGGGTATTACGGGGGGAAGTTGCAGTTTAATTTTGCTTGATGGAAGCGTGCTTTAGTCTAAACATCTTTTTGTTGATTCCCATATTAATATGGAACTGTTTTCACCAACTGTGATGTTTGTCTGCAGCTGGACCCAAGCATATTTGAAAGCTTGCAGAAGGAACGAGTGGAAACAGGCGATGTTATTTATATTGAAGCAAACAGTGGAGCCGTCAAGGTAAAGCTAAAATTCTGCATTTTTATGCAGGTGGATGTGTTCTTGCAGGTCTTCCCTGCCTTTGTCAGAAAGCTCTCCCATTTGTTAATCTTAATTGACATGAAATGGTTACGTGAAAGTTTTAGAAGTGTCTAGTGTTATCTTTATCTGGTAAGAAAAATATCTCTTGCACTGAAAGAACATGGTCATCTGGTTCACGATTAAGGTCATGTGGCAAGGAAGCTATCACTAGTGCTGCCTGGTTGAGTTTCCTTTTCTCTGAGATCATGACACCTTTAAGGAAAGATGGGGGGAAAAAAAACAGCAAGCAACTTTAGTCATTTTCAGGCTGACATGTGCAGTGTATTTAATCTTTCTTTTATCGCTCTGGTATTTTCTCCACAAGATATATACATGTAGAAGGGAATACTGCATTAGTTAGCATTCTTTTCATATCTGATTTGGAAAGTAGCGATACTTGCTGTTTAATGGATGACCATAATATTTTCTATCATATAATAAATCACCCACCTACAAAGGAGTCTTGAACAGTTCTCCTAATCTCTAGCTAATCGTCTGGATTTGTCCTTTAGCAAGAATTGCATACAGTTAAAATAAAGGGAGAGAGGAGTGAAATATTCTTACCACCAAAATATCAGGTGCTTTTCAATAGGGTATTTTGAGCTTTGATCAGTAGATATAGTATGCTTGTTGCTGAGCAAAGAGTGGGATGTCTGAACTGTCAGACAGAAGCTTGTCAGGACTGGAATTGTGAACTAAGCCCTTTATCAAGTTTGTCACTCAAGGTTTTGGCACCAAAACAAATCCTATACTTAAGTTTCTCTTCTTTACCTTTCTTCAGAGGCAAGGCAGGTGTGATACCTATGCTACGGAATTTGACCTTGAAGCTGAAGAGTATGTTCCTTTACCAAAGGGTGATGTGCACAAGAAAAAAGAAATTATTCAGGACGTTACTCTGCATGACTTGGATGTGGCCAATGCTCGACCTCAGGTATCTAATTACATGGATGAAATCTTTACAGAAAAAATATTGTACATAGTTCTGGTGGTTTCTAGAATAATCAAGAAGATAAGGAAAGCTTTGATATGTTCTAAAGTACCCTCAAAGACACTGCCACAGGAAAAACTGGAGGTATCTCAAAGGCCATTCTGACTTTGCTCTCTGCAAGGAGGGCCTGCTGCAGAGTGGCTGCTCCTCTTGACCAAAGAAAGAGGTCATTGAGTCATTAAAGTTGGAAAAGACTTGTAACAATCAGAAAGATCAAGGCAGTGGAGTGGCTATACAGGAGGTGTAATGACAAAGGGACTAGCACAATCTAAAGGTGTTACAAAGAAAAGGAAAAGTGCTCACCCATCTCTGAAGATCTAGGCACAAAAGGGAGACTCCACAGGGGAAGGATCTGCAGCCAGAGATCCTTCTCTAGTGGCAGACAGCCCTTAAATGAGGTCTCAGAGAGGTGCAGCCAGGCTCCACCCTTCCTGTCACACAGCTGAATTGCCTTCACCTGTGCTCCCAAGATTGACTGAGTCCTTTCCCAGGTGCTCAATCAGTGGTTCAGGCCAGGACTCAACAGTTCCCACACACCTCTTGAGATCATCAAGTCCAACTTTCAACCCATCACCACCATACCCAATAAATCCCGTTCCTAAGTGCCACATCTACGTATTTCTGGAATTTCTCCAGGGACAGTGACTCCATCTCTTCCCCAGGCAGCTTGTGTTCCAATGCTTGACAACTCTTTCAGATAATAAATTTTTCCTAATATCCAACATTTTAAAATAATAATAAATTTAAGCACCTTGCCCTTGGAAAACCTTCTGCTTGATCATGGTGTCTCCACTGCTGGGTAAGATTACTCCTTTGTCTCCATAAGGAGAGATGTGAGGTAGCAGCAGCCAGATCTGCATCATTTTATTTGTTGAAAGTTGAGTACAGATTAATTTCTTCTGCTTTGTATTCACAGCTTTGTGGTTGTAAAATAGAAACTGCAAGTATTGTGATAAATTACAGAACATCCTGAGTTGGAATGGACTCAAAAGGATCATCAAGTCCAACTCTTGGCTCCACACAGGACAACCCAAAGATCAAACCATGTGTCTGATCACTGAGTGTTTTTGACCTTGCTGTAGAGCCTCTTAATTTCCCTGCTTCCTTCAGAAATATTTCATAACTTCCCATTAAACTTCCTTGTGATTTGCAGTAGAGCTTTGAAGTCACTGCATAAAAAAGTTGAAAGCAGGAGAATTACCCCTTTCTGTATTGTAATGTAAACCAAGGAAGGAGGAAACTCCTTCTCTGTCATAAACAAAAGCCGCTGACAATACAGTATTTGTGTTTAAAGGTTGGCACCCCTATGATATGATATTACCAGCCCTTAACCTACTACAACATTTCAGAATAAACGTCTTTGTTTTTCCAACAAAATCATTTACCTGATAAAATCAAGGAATTCTAAAGTGTTAAAACTCAGTGTAATTGTTCCTGCGTTGACAGGTTGAACAATTACAATTTACACAAATAATCCTAAGAGTCTGTGTTCCCTGATGTTTTCAGTTCTCATGAGCTTCTCTGTGACAATTTTTAAAAGCAGATGTGTCATTTTTTTTTATATACTGTGCAAATGAGCAAGGTTAAAGAAAGAGGAAATAGCTAATTAAACAGTTAGGCTTAGAATACCACTGTGGTAAAGCAACCTGACCTTTGACAGGTTATCAACCACTACTGAATAAAGTGTCAGTTCAACTGAAAGAAAGAACTGCTTTAACCAATTTCCAGTTCTTAAAATTCTCGTGGTATGTGTTCACTGCAAGACTTAATACTTGCTGTAACTTTCTTCTAGGGTGGGCAAGACATCCTCTCTATGATGGGACAACTGATGAAGCCTAAGAAAACTGAAATTACTGGTATGAACCCTGCATCATGTTTTCAGACCATCATAACCTATGTTTGCCAATTAGAAAAGCATTAAAAATTGGGTTATTAATACAGCATCTATAATGATGAATGCCTACAAATAATGTTTTTTCAAAAATGTTCAGATTTAGCTGGAAACTGTGCAGATGTTACTGATTCACACAGTTTTAAACTATATGCTGTATTCTGCATCCATATTTTTGGAAAGAAGGTCAGAGAGCTAGTGCTGTCCTTCTCTGAATACTTCTGCTCAAGAGTATGTGGTTATATATAGGTTGCTCCAAAAGTAATGCCTATTTATTTCTCTGGAAACAACAACAGATACAAGGAGCACAGTAACACTAGTTGGTAGAGCAAATTCCCAGCTACAAAACACTTTTTCAACACAGTCACAATCAATTAGCTCTGCATTTTCACCAGCAGTGAAACAAGTCTGTATGCTAAAGATCTGCACCAGCACAAATGACCCACTGTCACCATTGCTGAAATGCACCAGCTGTGCTCATGTCCACTATTTGGTCTCCACAAATGCTAGTATGGGTGCCATTTTTGCCACACGGAGGAATTCAGTCCCACACCTTTGTTCATGCACACTTCCATGTCAGATGCCATTTTGTCAGACTGCCCCTCTGCTGCCATCTGTCACATGGCAACAACATGTAACAGAACATTGGTGAAAAGGTTCAGCCTCTGCTGCCATACCACCAGCATCTGCCTCTGTCGTCATAATAAATAATAAATAGCAGTCATTACCTTCGGAGCAGCCCTCATATTTTCCTAGAGTTATGCTAAGTTGCAAACTGACACCTCAAAAATAAAAAAAAAAATCTTAGGATGTGTTCTTTTGTGAAACAACCATGCATTGTTTCTGAGGAGCAGAAAAAAGGCTTCTAAGCACTCCAGCCTTGGTTTGCTTTTGATTGCTGTAGCTGCCCTTGACTTGATTCTGTAAGTGCACTGTTGCTCTTCCTACTTACACATGTCTGAAGGAAAAAAGATCTACAGAAAAATCAATTCTCTTTTTTATTCTTTGAAATAATTGTTATTTCATTAAGTAACTAAATTTAGATAAAAGTCTTCAATTCCTAATTTGAATGGTGCTCTTTTGAAGTATTTCTTACACTCTAGAGGTCATTTTGCTTATTCTGAAGTTAAGTTTATCTGTAACATCTTGCGTAGCTTTGAGATCCATATGTTGACAGAATCTTTATACAAAGCTACGTTGCTGAAATACAGCAGGAATATTTTATTCTTTCAATGCTGTTCTTTTTACACGTGCTTGGAAACTTGGTTAAACTTCACATTTTAAACTGAAGCTTGGCTGACTTATGTGCTGGAAGTTCAGTTTAGAAATATTTTGATGGACAATACAGAATTGAAATTTCAAATCTTAGTTTAAATTCTCACAGAATTTTAGTGTTGCCAAGATTTATCCTGTGGCATTAAGAAATCAAAGTATGAACATTTCCAGGGGAATATGTTGGTTGCTTTAAGTCTTTCATAGAAACCTATCGCTCACTAGCAGGGTAATTAACATTTTATTTTCGTTCTTGTAGACAAACTTCGAGGAGAAATAAATAAAGTGGTAAATAAATACATTGATCAAGGCATTGCAGAGCTGGTCCCGGGTGTACTGTTTGTAGATGAGGTTCACATGCTGGATATTGAATGTTTCACATACCTGCACCGAGCACTGGAATCTTCTATTTCCCCCATTGTAATCTTTGCATCCAATCGAGGAAACTGTGTAATCAGGTATGTCTAAAGTTGAATTTTCCAGTTTGCATCAGCCCATAAGTCATGGAGTGAGCTGTATCAGCAGTGTTAGAACGTTTGAAAGCTTTTGTCTCTGATACTGACATCTGTGAAAACACCCCGTGTGGGCTGCAGGCTGCGTCAGTGCTTAGGATTTGCTTGTTGGCTTCACCAAGAGAAACTCGTTTAGTGCCACACTAACTGAGATTAGAACTCCTTTTATTTCTACTGACACATCCCTCTTTTTCTTTAAACTGTATTCCCTGAATGGTCTCTTACAATTACCTCTCTCTTCAGATACTCAACACAGCTCTTGTAGAACCAGAAATGCAAACTTCTACTACTGTAGTTTTCTCCTTCTGAACCAATTTGTTGTTTGCTATCCTTGTTGTATAAGGCTTAAACTTCCTGTTCTTACTGCTGAAGCATATTGCAGTTCATCCTCTCATTATTCTTTCTTTTCTACTGCAGTGATCTAGATTGTTGTATCTCCAGCCTTGCCAACTTACCTCCTGTTTTTAATCTCTGCTCCATTTCCACTTCAATATTTTGCACCCACACAGTGCATTCTTTGCATTTTCTGTAAAAGCTTTTTCCTCTTTCAAATTCATCCTCAAGTTTTACTCTTAATTTGTGGTCTAGATCTAAGTACATCAAAACAAGATGTCTTTAGCAATGATTGCTATTCTTTAAGTTGACTTAATTCAGCTCACTAAACAGCTATTCCTTTCACTCTTACTGGGTCATCTGATATTAATCTTTCTCTGTTTGCATTGTTTAGAAGTTAAGATGGTAAGCTTGTCAAAAATGATGAGGTGGGACTTTGCAGTTCTGCTTCTGCAACTGAATAAAAAGGCTGTCTTGTAAAAATAGAACAAACAGGTCTATTAGCATGGATTGACAGGAACCTGTGATTTAAGAAAGGAAACTTTCCATATAATAATTGTATCTAATGTTGATAAATTAAATCCCTTAAAAGCAAGGTCTTAACTCCCCACTGCTATCTTAAAGTATTGGTGATGCTCTAATGTGCCTACTGGTATCTCTTAAAAGAGTCAGGAGGGACTTAATTTTATAACATAGCTAGTTGATTCTTTAACCTCATGAGAGAACATCATCTGCTTGAGTTGATTGCAGGGATTTTTTATTTGTTTCCCATGGAGAACCATGACCAAAGCTGAGATGCCTAAATACTAGTACTGAACTTGGAAATGTATCTACTAGCACTTTACCTTTTACATCTATAATCTTCATAGGTATCATGAAATGTGGATATCTTTCATTCTTGACTTCACACCAATTCAGTTTTCTTGATAAAGCAAGAGTAGATGTGTCTGCAGACTCTGCTATTGGGTGTTGTTTGCCAAACAAAAAAAAATAGTTGAGAGTCTAGACTGTGCCTTGTCCTTCATAGACAGATCTCTACTTCTGAATTTGCTGGACTGCAAGCCTGTAATGCAAATACTGCCATGGCTGGAGGGTCTCAGGGATGTATAGAACAGAGTAATGGCTTGTTCAGTAAGAGAGAACATTCAGTGACTATTAGTGCATATAATTGATATTGCCATACAGCTTAATAAGAATCATTTGTTCCTTACTGAAATACACTTTGGAACATTGGATAAGACCACGTTGTAAGATACAGTGAAAAGAAATACAAAGAAAAGCACCACCTCAGACTATTTTTGAGTGATATGTTTAAAAGTTTCTGTAACTTCTCTTGCAGGCTGCCCAGTATTAACTTCAGGCTAGCATGTTTCCTGTCAGTGGCTGGGGAGATTGTGTCTCTATGGGAATACAGAAGAGTTGTAAATTAGTGGACATACAGTCAATTACTGCTGATTTTAGTCAAATCAACACTCTGTATTCAGAATAATATCTGATTCCTTTCCATTTGTTTTCTTCTTTAGAGGCACAGAGGATGTAGTGTCTCCTCATGGAATACCACTGGACCTGCTGGACAGAGTGATGATTATCCGAACCATGTTGTATACACCTCAAGAAATGAAACAGGTATACAAAGCATCTTAAGAGCTTCTAAAAAATATATGGGAATTCTACTTTCTTGGGATAACTTCTACTTTCCTTGTATTCTGTTACTATAGAGCTGATTGAATCAGCAGAGTCTGTGCCAGAAAGTTTACCACTTCCTAAATGTATGCTGCTTTAGAAACCATTTAGAGTAAGTTGGTTAAAATTGTGCATACGGATTTTTATGTTGGATTTCCATGCACTGACAAATTACTGGTAAACATGTTTAGAGCTGAAAGTGACATCTCACATGCATGTGCTTTCTGTAGAGTTTGCAGGTTCCAGCAGGCAGTGCTTTTTCCTGCAGGTATGAATGTTGTGTTTTGGGGACCTGTGGTCCCAGACCTCAGCTGTTCCTCCACGTAAGAGATGAGGAATTACGGAATGCAACCTCTCTCACTGCATTTCTGCCTCCATCCCCTATACTAAAGCTTTAACGTACTTGGGCTGCTTCCTGAAAGCGAAAGGATAAGTGAAGGGATTTTTGAGCTCCTAGACAAGTTTGGAAACGTTAGCACAGTAAACATTGCAGAGATACACTTCTGAATGCCCGAAACCTTTCCTGTGGGGCCATGGCTGTGTACCGTGTATCGATTACAATGCTTAGGTGCCATTATGATGCATCGTGTCAAAGATCCCCCTCATTAGCGTCTCAATGCTGTGAAGTGACACAATGCAGAAGACGTTACAGTTTATCATGTCAGTTCTTTGTATTATTTAAGAGATAGTGTCAATGGAGGAGAGCGTTTTCACGAGATAATAGTCTTTTGCTGCTGGGTAAGTGCCAAGGTGAAGCTGAGGCATTTATTGAATATAAACGTAGGGGCAAAGCTTCATTTCATTTAGTTTGAGGAGCTTTTCACATATGGCTGTTGTGAACCTTGCTCAGGATGATTTTTTTGTACCGAAAAGGATACTTAAAAGCATTACAATGTAGATAACAGTAGAAGCAGCCCAGAGATTTAATAATATGATTGTATTTTGTCTGTATACAAAACAGGTTTTAAAGCGTGACTTCTGCTCAGTCTGCAGGTGTTAAAAACTGTCGTCTGAACTTCTCTGTGCTGTATGTGAATTTTGTGCAGTAAGAGTAGTAGGAAAATGTACTGGGAATTAAAAATAGCTTAACAAAAAGCAGCGCAGTGTACTGTGCTATCAGCACATAATATAGCATTAAAGAACTTGTTTCTAAACTGATGGTTTCTTAGAAGAGTTGGGTTCAATGCTATGCTTTCCAACCCCTCCCAGGGCTGAGGGAAATGTAGTGTTTACAGTAGCTTTTTCTAAAGCTAAAAACAGATCCGGACATTTTCTGCCATAAACCACATAGTTAAATAATCACATCTTCCCTTAGATTAGAACTTTTCAGTGACTTCTTTTGAGAGAGGAAGAGGAGGCATTTATTACATTTCGTTTTCTAACTAATACAGCTTAGGAGGGATGATAAAAATAAAGTATGTCCGTAACTGTCTGTATTTTTTTGGTCCCATTTTTCTTTCATTCTAGGAGGTAGTTTTCATTGACTGTATTTCTATATGGGACTCTTTGCCTTGACATCTCACAACTGATTTGCTTATCAGCACAGTAATTGTGCGTATATTGAAAGTTAGTTCATAACCAGAAGAAATCCCATCGTGTGGTTCTGCTGAGATCAAGACCCACAGTTACCTTACTGCAACCATACAGTGATTCTAGGATAACCCCCTGTTATATGCATATTCTAGTCTGATACTTTCTCTTCCATGTGTGCCTGCTGTCAGATGGAAGAGGTTATATATTATGAACAAAGGGTGCTAGTTATTTCAGCTTGTAAACACTTCTTTTCCTATTTGACATAAGCTTGCTAGTATGTATTTTCTGGGTTACTGCCTTGGACCCTGATCCTTCAGTGAGATTCTACCTGGTTGCTAGAAAGAAAATTTTAAGAAATAGTTATTCTGAGCTAAGTGGTATTCAAGGTGTCTTGCTTCTAACGGGGGTAGAATAAAGCAGTAGTATTTGAATGAAAAGTGCTGTTTGGATGATCTATAAGATGTGACAAGTCTTCAGTTTGGAATTGCAATTTGCAGGGATATTTCTGATATTCAGAATTAATGTCTTAGCACAACTTTCTGCTGTTTCAAACCCCTCTTTACTCCCTTCCCTACCCTGACTCCCCTGGCGCATTTTTATGGCTTTAATTTAAACGAGTGCTTCTTGATATCTTGTTTACAAAGCTGCCAAAGTGAAAAATACCTGTATTATATGAGGCTTGCAGTTCCAGAGTTATCTCAGCACTACAACACAACATCATTATCCAGTCTGCCCCTTATCACTCGGCTGGTAATACGGACTACCGAGAGACTTGCGCCACTCCTGTTACAGCTTTATATGCTCAGGCTTATTGTGATATCTTGCTCTCCAACTTTGTACAGATCTGCAAACTGGTACAAGCCTGGGACTGTTCTTGAAAGATTAGATTCTTCTTTGTGATTTTTTTTCTTCTTGCATGAATAGGTGAATCTTAGAAAGTAACTTTTTGATTTATTTTACAATTGGATTGTCAGTGGAATAAAAAGTGTGTTGTGAGCTGCTATGGGAAGAGCGTAGCTTTTTGTAGGGCTTGTTGGAACACTCTGCTGTGTAACAGCAACAATACACTGTAGGAACTGATGTAGCTGCCCACAAGACTCCAGCTGTCATCATTATTCTCTGTGTACTTTTTCAATTTCCTTGTGTAAGTCCTCGTACTCTGCTTCTCATTAGTAGATACACCTTGCTAACCATGCAAAATCATCATAAAGTAGTCAAAACATTACTTCAGCCTGCTTTTACGATTGTCAAGTTTTCCCACATGATGTTTGCCCATTCAAAGACATAGAATTCCACAAATCTGTTGTAGTTTAGTGCTAAATTACAACAGGATAAGTTCATACCATCTCATTTTATAGCACATCCCATCTCTAAGCCAACAGTGTTTCTCAAAAATAAACTAAGTAGAGTAGCATGCTAATAGTTTGGGCTGTTACCTGACTTATTTATTCCAACAGATCATAAAACTTCGTGCTCAGACAGAGGGAATTAATATTAGTGAAGAAGCTCTAAATCATTTAGGGGAAATTGGTACCAAGACAACCTTAAGGTAAGTTGAATGCCGTTGATTTTTCTCTCATACTTTGTTAGTATGACTGGGGCTTAAAACACTGTAGGATAATTTACTCTTGAAGTGAAACAACTCTCTCCCATACAGTAATATTGTGTTAAGAAGAGTTAACATTACTAGAGGTTAGTAATCCTCCTATTGCCTTGTTGAAGAGATGTACAAGCTATAGGATCTTACAGGCTATAGGATCTTAGGATTTTTTTTTATACTACTAGAGCTATGTGTTTCCTAATAGGTCTCCCACCCATTCAGTTCACTGGAATGCACTGAATTGTAATTTTTCATCCATCTGTTTGATCACAGGTATGCTGTTCAGCTGCTGACCCCAGCTAACCTGCTTGCCAAGATTAATGGGAAAGACAGCATTGAGAAGGAGCATATTGAAGAAATAAATGAACTTTTCTATGATGCCAAGTCTTCAGCAAAAATCTTGGCTGATCAACAGGAGAAGTACATGAAATGAGCTTACATTAGATGCTTTGAAGTGGCGTTAACCCTTACCCAGGGCTGGCTTAAATAAGAAATGTTAATGGTTTGTCTCTTTTGGGACTGGAAAAATATTTAAATGTTGGACTGCTTTGTCAGGCCAGAATTAAATAGCAAGCGTTCCTATTATATTGTCAGTGATAAGATGCTCTATGATATCTATGTAACATCTTAGTCTCCATTTTATGAGTACCTGTGGAATGAATAGCTCTTGAACCACCAGTGGTTTTTAGATTTCATTATGGAAGAGCTCTAAACTGAAGCTGATGCTGAAGAACAGTCTATTTTCTTTATGAATATCCTTTTAAGATAGTTTCCTTTTACAGATGATGACTTTTTTTTTTTTTTGAATCAAAGTTTGTCTGAAGTGGTTTATAATAAAGTATTTCAAGAATACTGGTAGCTTGCATATGTTTGTCCTGAGTTCTGACTTTCCTAAAGAAACAGTTGAAATAGGTAAGATGGGAATCACAATACAAAATATGAATAAAGTGGGTCTGTGACACAAGAACAGATCTGTAGCAAAGGAAAGAAATAGTAACAAGACCTTTTTAAGGACTTTCTTGGATATTTTGGCCCTTCTAACGTGTTTCTCCTGAAATAACTTTTCTTTAGGTTTTCTTAAAGCAGATTAAACAAATTCCTGTTGTTGTTGTAAGCTATGTTTTCCACTATGTTCAGTCCTCACTTTCTTGATCAACCACTATCAAAAAAAATTGCAGGCCAGAAGTATTTGATGTCCACATGGACAAGAGAGTTAGCAGAACAACAGTGAGAAAAATTAACCTGGTAATTAGGGTTTGAAATTCTGCTCTGCATAGATTTTTATGAACTTTGCTTCAGTTGCTTTTTCACAAAGCGTGTTTCCTTCTTTTGTAAGATGTAGATACTTTTAGTTGCCTCACAGCACTCACAATAAATGCTTTAAAGTTTAAGATCTTGGCCAAATCTATGTAATGTAAGTGGGTGATCTAAGAAAAAATGCATTTTACTTACTAATCTTGCATCCTCTACTATAAACTTCAGTGATTTTAAACCATTTCATGTTCATTTGGATTTAATATTGTTTTGATCACATTCTACTATCACAGTCATGTGAAAACCTGTCCCATTCTTCAAGATGAATTTTAGTACTGCCAGCCAGCCCTAGTTATCTTCTGTGCTTTAAATAATCTTTCTACTCCATTCTCCACATCTGTAACCAAACAGCAGTGACAGAGATATTTAATGAATGAATTTTTGGGGGGAGGCAAGGAGCAATCCTGCTTTCAAACCTGAAAGGACCTCTCTCTTACTGACTCCAAATGAACAAAGAGAGCAAATATAGCACTAAACCACATCCCTCAGTGCCATGTCTCCAGGGAGGTAACTCCACTGCTTGTTCATTTGGTGCCCTGCTTACATTGTGGCAGAAGACCTGCTGAGGCAACAAGGAGTGGACTTTTGCAAGAAAATAAGACCTTAATAACACAAGGGAAGGGAAATAACAAAAAAAACCCTACAACTTTCCAAACTTTCAACAGCAAAAGTTTATCCCCCCTCCCCCATTTCTGCTTGTGCTAATGTCTGTACGACAACAAATAAGCCCTGTTTGCCTCTGCACTGGTCCTGGAGGACTCCCCCAGCATGCCATCTTTAACAGCCATTAAGTGTCTACCAAAGACATAAAGCTGTGATGTAAAGGGAAAATCCTTCTACCCTAAATGGTGAGCGAATGTTTATCTAGCCTATTAAGTGACGTCTGGCTGACTTATTGGTGTCAAAGCTTTGCCCATGAAAATAGTCTTTCATATTACTGATAAAAATAGTTCTGCTGAAAGAATCACTACACCACATACAACAGCTACCAATGAAGGATCATAAGGAAAAAAACACTTATTTGACAGAGCTGCCCCTGGAAGCAGGAAGGGGGCATACAGCCCACCAAAGAAGTTTGGGTATTAATATTAAACGTGAAAAGACAAAACATTATTTTAATTTTTTTCCCCCTATTTCCCACAAAGGTTGCACTTCTTGCATTAATCTTCTAAGCGAAGTTTTTACGACCGATTGCCTGCACACTATGAGAAGTTTCTCCATCCATTACATGCAGGGAAACGGGCCCTGCTGGGTAGGAAAATATTTGTTACATCTTATCAGGGTGACACATAATCTAACAACAATTACAGCAAGCCCATATTTTGTACTATTTCAGTTTCAACGTGAAAAATAGGTCTAATATTAAACCTTGGGTGGGTGGGGGTTATAGTAACCAGTTGAATATTATAAGCTGTGATTTCCTTCCAGCTGCAGAGCAGTGCCATGCTTAGATCCTGCTCCAAGACCATGGGCACACATAAATCCAGCGTGCTGGGGGCCAAGGCATCGCCTGCCATGAGCCAAGGTTGGAAGAGACCACTAAAATTAGCCGGTCCAACCATCAACCCATCACACCATGCCCACTGATAGAATGACAGAATCACTGTAAGGCTGGAAAAGATCATCTAGCCTGACCATACTCTACCCAGACAGACCTTGAATCGGGGCAGGAAGCAGCAGTTTCAGTGAACCACTCTTGCCCAGCACTGTAGTCCAGAAGGAAACATGAGCTTTGCCTGCTTAACATTTCATATATTTTAAAAGAAAAGACCCAAGTGCTCAGTGACAGTTCTGGGAACTGGCTACAAAACTTTGCATCAAGTCCAGGTGACATCTGCCAGACATGAGCTACTGGTTTGTTCATGGTTACAGCTGGGGGGTTATACTCTGCTAAAGTCGTTCCCCCTTTTCATTAAGATGTTTGCAGATGGGACCAAATTGCTTATAATCATCTTAGTGGAATGGTGCTACAGCAGCCAGATCATAACCTGATTTCTTTGATGTGATTAAGGGACAATTTGATCCCATCTGCAAGAGCTATGAACATGCTACAACATATCCGAGCTTTTCCATGACCATAAATATGATGTAAACACGACCTCATCCCTTACAATCATCATTAATTTGCAAAAGACCTCTAAGATCACCTCGTCCAACCATCCACCTACCACCAACACTGCCCACATCCCTCAGAGCCACACCTCTGTGGTTCTTGAACACCTCCAGGGACGGTGACTCCATCACTCCTTGGGCAGCCTGTTCCCATGCCCAACCACTCTTTCAGAGAAGAAATTCTTCCTAATAACTTCAGTTGGTTCCCAGGTTGGATGTCTGCTTTTTGCCTCCTCAATGAAGGCGACCACCATTCAGTTTTTGGAAACTGCACAGAACAAAAATCCCCCTTCCCCACACAGTGCCTAGCCCTCCCTGCTTCCTGCTGATACTGTGGGGTTTAGGATGACGGGCCGCAGAGACCAGCACCCTCTGCTTGTACAGACAAACCCCTTTGATCCAGATTTCCTCATAATCCCCGCTTTTATTAGGGTAAAAATAAAAACAGATGCAGATTAGTAAATCAATTGTAGGTACAAGTGAGCAAATAGACAGAATAAGAGAATGGCTGCCAAATACTAATGCTAAAGAATTTGAGCCCAAGGGCTTCGTCAGAGGGAGGGACCAATAACCGCAGCACAGGGCTGGGCAGCTGGGAAAGCTGCTGCAAACTGCAGGAGAAAACCACACTGGGGGATGTCACTGCTTATCCCTTGAATTCAAACAGACATAATCCTTAAGTGCAGCAGATACAAACCTGCTGCTCTCCCCAGCACTGGGAAATGCCACCCAGGATTCCCTTCCTGACCCAGCACTGGTGCAATTGCTTGGAGGGGTGATCTCAAAATGGTGCCATCAGGGGACGTGGAGGAAGAGGGGGGAGAGGGAGAGGCCATGATGGGACAACATGTGGGTGTGCAGGAGCCCTTGGGAGTTGCATGCTGCAGTGCAGGGCTGGGTGCTGGTGCAGCCAAAGGCATTGGCTCAGAGCGTTACCTTGCTGCCATGGTCTGTGGCTCAGGGATTTGGACTGACACACAGACATCTTCCAAACAGCAGGAGCTGTGAGAGCCTGATGGGTCACACCACGCACCAGTGGGTATTGTGCCTGGAAGGCAAAACTTCTCCTTGAGGAAATGGAACAGCTGCCACACAGCTCTGAGGAGGACAAGTACAAGGACCAGGTCCAGCTGGATCCAAAACTGGAGTCATAGAATCATTAGTGTTCAAAAGACCAAGGAGATCATCTAGTCCAACCATCAGCCCATGCCTGTGAGCTCTCTAAACTATGACCTTCAGTGCCACATCTCCACAGTTCTTAAATATCTCCAGGGACAGTGACTCCACCACTCTCCTTGGCAGCCTGTGCCAGTGCCCAAGCACTCTTTCTGAAAGGAATTTTTTCCTAATAACCAACCTGAACCTCCTCTGGCACAACTTAAGGCCATCATCTCCCACCCTGTCACTGTGACCTGAGAGAAGAGGCCAACTCCCACCTCACCACAACCTCCTTTCAAGCAGTGACAAGATCTCCCCCAGGCATCCTCTTTTCCAGACTGAATCATCCCAGTTCCCTCAGCCACTCCCCAAAAGACTTGTGCTCTGGACCCTTCACAGCTCCGTTACCCTTCTCTGGACATGCTCCAGGGCCTTGATATCTTTTTAGTAGGGAAGGGCCCAATGCTGAACACAGCACCTAAGGTGCAGCCTCACTAGAGCTGAGTACAGAGGGACAGTCACCTCCTGCTCCTGCACTATTGCCACATTGCCCAGATCAGGATCTCTGCTGCAGTGAAACTCTTGGGACTCGTAACCTCATTTCTTGGCAAAAGAGCCGTCTGGTCCTCTGCACTCAGTGCAAACCCACTGCATGCATGAGTTGTGCTGGTTTTACCCAAGGGCTGCAGCACACGGGGCTGTGCAGTAGGGGATGAAGGGGCCCCCAGGGCTGCTCCTAAGGGCTGGACAGGAGCCCGGGCCCCAAGGAGGAGCACGGCAGAGCCCAGGGCTCACAGCACTCCCCTCCCAACATCACCTCCAGCTTCACTTTGTGATTAATGTTCCTCCAAACTTTCCCCGGCTCCCCACGCTCCCACTTTCCGTCACCCTTCTCATTACCGATGTATCTTTGCATCGGGGGAAAGCGGGAGGAAAAATTGTTCTTTCAGCCTGACAGCTGAGCGAGGGCTATATTATTAAAGGTACCAATCATAGGTGCCGAGCTATCATCGCACGATGAATGCACATGTCAGGAGCCGGGGGGAGCGCGGCGGGACGGCGGCACTCGCGCTCTCTCCGCTTCCCGCGCGTTGGCCACCTCCGCTGGCTGAACTTGGACCCCGCGCGGCGACAATTTCTCCGGCCTCGACAGCACGATTAATTTCTCCTGCCCTCCGCGGGGCCTCCGAGTGCGGTGGAAGTCCAGCTGGCCTGCTGCTGATAAGATGTACCTTTTGATTTGTTTTGTCTTTGATTGCCTTTTCTGTCACCTACAATGGCTGGCCGCCTGGAGACCTCCGCATCGCCTGACGGACGGATCTATTTATCTATAGGCTGCTCCCGGCTGTTCCTCCCCCTCGCTCCCCCCAAGCACCACCTTGTACCGCTGAAGTCCCCGTCTAATAGAAGCCGTGAAGGCTCATCCACCATAAAATACATCTGCCATCCTCCTTCTCGCCAAGATAAAAGCCTGTCAGTGTTACTTTCCAATTCCAGGCAGCTTGATTAATGGTGAAAAGCCACCGCGAGATCGACTTCTGGTTTTTACAAGCGCTGTCAGCCGGCCCAGGGTTATGCGAAACACACGCTCATAGAAAACAAAACAAAATGAGAAAAGGTTGGGTGGGGAGGGTAACCAAATCATATTAGGCTCGAGACTAAATAAAATAGGAACCTGGAGCCATCAAACCCCTGTCAGCCGGGTGCAGAAATATGCTCCGCGGCTCATTGTACCAAGGCAAATTATGGCAATAATAAATCATTGTTGAAGGAAGATTGTTGATAATTTTTTTCCTTTTTTTTTTTTTCCTCTTTTTTTTTTTTTTTTGGATGGTGGCATTCAATAGGGGTGCTGGGACACCTGCCACCGGCCTCGGAGCAGGTTATTAGGCTGTCACTCAGCCCACA